CAGGTAGTACACTTGCTACCTATGTAGGTTCAAAAATAGGTTGCCCCAAGTAAAATTCGGTTGCCCGGGGCAACTGGGCAACCAGGTATTTTGCACACTGGGACTGTCTCAGTGTGGTTGTTGATAGGGGTTGGTTGGTGGATACAGTTGGTTGGATGGACAGTTTTGACTGTACTACAGTTATGTAAAATGTACATTGTACAATGTGTGATTGTGTGTTTCAGCTCCTACAGTGCTGCCCAACTGCACGAGCAGTCAGTTCCAATGTGCCAACGGACGCTGTATCTCAGCTAGTTGGAAATGTGACGGAGACAACGACTGTGGAGACATGAGTGACGAGCAGGATTGCGGTAAGGGACTGTTACCTTAAAGTTGGTTAGCACGTCAGAAGAACGTACTGCACCTGAACCAAAGCCGTAGTGTACTGTGCTTGGCACTTCGGTAGAGCATCTTGTTTAAGGTCGTATTTGTGTATTCAAGGATGGCATTCTGTTTGTAGTTGCATTACAAACAAATTACCAGTAACTGCATAAATAACGGAGATACCTTCCGGACGTTTCGAGTGACGTCTGTCACTTTTCTTCATCGTCACTAAAAAGGATGAGTGAAGAATGACACATGTCACTCGAAACGTCCGGAAGGTATCTCAGAGTCTGTTATTTATCCAGTATATCAGAGTTTGATTTTTCTTTGAATATTGTTCCTAGATGTCTAAACCTTCATTGACGTATTATGTAATGTATGCTAATTTGTAGGTGCCCTGACCTGCCGGTGGTTCCAGTTTACCTGTAACAATGGCCGCTGTGTGTACAACTCCTGGGTGTGTGATGGGGAGGACGACTGTGGGGATGGCTCGGATGAACGGGACTGTGGTAAGGCTTCTTCTGGTCTTCTTCCTGTTACTGTAACAGTAGTATTTGTAAGACAGTGTGTACTGTAGTCTGAAATGAGTCCAGTATAAAAAGTAATTGGCCCCCCTAAAAAACACTTGCCCAAGAGACCACCTCCAGGCTTTGAGATTAACTTTTCTTTCTATTGCCCCAGCACTGTCCCAAAAATAAATTTCAAAAATGGTCCCGAAGTGAGGATGAACTGTCCCGACCTGTTTTTTTTTTAAATGATAACTAGCATGAAATCTTGATGGAATCGGACAGTTAACCATTGGTTTGGACAGCATAACAGTCTTCTCGTAATGGCAAATGGCACTGACTGGGTAACGTTGGGTCTGTGGGGTAATCTATTGTAAAATGGATGGAAATGTTGCTGAGATTTTCTTGTTCTCCACTGTCAGCTTCTCGTTGCTTTACATGTATGTAAGTCAAATGTGGTCTTCCACGACCTCTATTTCCATGACTCGGGTTCCGGAGTAAGAGTTTGTATAGTACCTCATCCTTTTTCCTCCAACAGTGGCCTCCTTTCCTGTATTGTTTCTGAATCAGCAAATGGTGGACCAGGTATGTTTTTGTACAGCTCACGGTTTTACGTTTTTTTCTAGCCACCTCACCGTACCCGACATCGATCATGCCGACTCGTCCTGCCAACTGCACCTCGCTGCAGTTCCATTGTCATAACGGGAACTGCGTCAACGAGCGCTGGAAGTGTGACGGGATCGACGACTGTGGAGACAACTCTGACGAAGCCAACTGTGGAGGTACAGTAACACACCGCGCACGCATTGATTTTCGGCTGTTCTAAAAAAAAAAGTTTACGTCCTCTGAGGCTCTGGCCTAGCTCTAGGCTTGGGTAGTCTATGGTAACTCTCCAATTGCAAGCAGAGGTTGTGGGGGAATGATCGTTAACTTTTTATATATTGCTGTTTTTTTTTTGTCGCTACCCCCACCTAGCCGTCGGTGGCCGGCGACCTTCTCTGGCTAATGGATACTGCCTGGCCAATTTGATACTGTCTTTTTGCCACCGAAATTGATCTGCTTGGAGATTAGTGGTTTAGTAGCATTTAATTTTTGGCCGGAATTTTTTTAATTCACCCGCGTGCACCTAGTTTGAGTGTCTTCAAAGGATGTCATCCATAAAATTAAGTCGGTGTGGCCTAACTGCAAACATTGGCCTTATACTGTCATGAAAGTTCATCTGTGTTGGTTGTTACATTGTAATGTTTAAAGTTAAAATTTTTGGTCCAACATAAAAAATTCTCTCACCTAGAGCTTTTGACCAGTCACTCTGGTCTTCCTCAGTAGACTGACCCAGTGAGACACTACGCCACACGAT